AACAGGCTGGAGCACTGGGCTTAGTCTGAGACAAAATCCAGCAGGGACTAATGAGGAATCCTGAACATGAGCACAAAAAAATCAGCTGTACAACCACAAGATGGGGGAAGCGCAGATAGACAGCAATTGTTCTGAGAAAGATCTGGGGATCTTAGTGAGACTGCAAACTCCTTATGGGTCAGCAGGAGGGCCCAAAAAGCCAAGGTGATCTAGGGCTGCATTAAGAGGGGCAGAGCATCCAGGTATAATAGGGAGCTGACAGCCCCACTGTCCTATGCCATATCTGGAATACTGTGTTCAGTTTGGGGCACCTGGCTTACAAAGATTATCAAATAAGGTGGAAAATGTCTGGAGAGGGGCGACCAGGATGGGGAAGGTCAGCTGAAGGACCAGGGCCTGTCTGACCTGGAAGAGAAAATGGTTCTAGAGTAGCTGAAGGGCTTGGAGGCATTCTGCTTGGCCCCCAGAAGTCAGAACCAGCCGGCATGGGTGGAAGCTGGAGACAGGCCGCTTTGGGGCTGACATCAGGAAACGCTTCCTATCCAGGGCTCCTGCAGAGGTCCCCGGAGGGAGGTCTTCTGTAGTGGAGGCTGCACCATTCAGAGGAGGTGCCACTAATTAGAGAGTCAAGCTCACTCTAACACCCCAGGCATCCGCGTGCCACATCCTCCCTATCTACTCCTACCAATGATAACGATGACGCTCCAAATCACCTTGTCTTTATTTTGTGTATATCTTCGACATCCCTAGTTCTGTCCCCAGTCTTCTCTAATAGAATTTAAGCTCTTTAAGAGAAGGGCCTGTTTCATTTTTTGGGTTATGATCTCCAACATAGTGCTAGGTATACAGTAGGCACTTAATAAATGCTTGTGGCTTGTTGATTGACTGCAAAGCCCCTCTCCCCACAGTGTTATCTTATTCTTGTACTTACAACAACCCTGTGAGGTGCACATTGCCTCTCAACAAGATTATCGATCCCTCCAAGGGAGGGATCTTGTCTCCATCATTTCAGGGCATTTTGCACAGCTCTGGGCCTCCTGCATGCACCTGATGAAGGCTGGTTAGATGGGCATCAGCTGCATGAGGGAAAGAGTTAGGGGGACCAGCGGGGCCAGGAGGCCTTGGGCAGTCGCTCTTCTGGTCTGTGAGGGAGGAGGGCCTCGGCCTCCTGGGGAAAGGGCTAATTCATTCCCCAGGCCCTCCCCCCCCTACCTCCCGAGTCCCCGGCTGGATCTGGTGTATTTCAGAAGCAGTTTAAAGTTTCCTGGTGTTTAGTCTGGGCCTTGTTTACAGATGGAGAAACTGGATCCTGAGCCAATGGCTTCTCAATATGATCATCATTCCAGGGCATGCGGGTACCAGCTGTCGACACCGCACAGAATCCTGGAGAGGCGCTACTTTGTCTGAGGTACATCAGCCTCTGCGGCCGGTCGGCTCGCGGGCCTGTTAGAAATGACCTCCCACAAGTCCACAGGCTGAGGACGGCTCGCCCTCGGACCAGATCTTCAGAAAAGCCCAGAAATCCATGAAGCGGGCCTTTGGGGTCCTTCCCCCTTCCCGTAAAGCCCTCTCCTCTCTCCTCCATTCCTGTGGGCCTCAGTGTCTGGGAGCTGTCATGGTCGTGATGGTACCCCAGAAAGTATCCGTAATGAACCCTAATCCTAGGATCTTAGATTTAGACCCAGAAGGGACCCCCAGGGTCAACTAGTCTGACCCAGGCCTGCTTTGAAGCTAACCTTGTCTCCATCTGTAAAATAAGGGGATTGAACTAGGTTCCCTGCTGCTGGATATTCTATTTTTTGTTGTTTCAGTTGCGTCCAACTCTCCGTGACCCCATCTGGGGTTTTCTTGACAAAAATACTGGAGTGGTTTGCCATTTCCTTCTCCAGCTCATTTGACAGATCAGAAAACTGAGCTAAACAGAGTGAAATGACTTGTCCAGGGTCACACAGCTAGGAAGTGTCTGAGTCCAGATTTGAATTCAGGTACCCCTGATCCCAGGGCTAGCACTTTATCGACCGCACCACGTAGCTGCCCTCACAACATGGTGGATCTGATGCCAAACATTAGTACTGGCTAATACCATTCCACTTCCTATGTTCACTGTAGGTCTGGATTATAGCTGAACAGCCAGCAATCTAGCCACTGCACCACCCTACCACCCCGCAACGGTCTATCTATCCAACCCCCAATCTGCCTTGGTTCTCCCTGTACCGCCCTGCACAAATCACCAAACCATTGTTTGCCCTCCCCCACTTCCTCCTCTCTAAAACGAGGCTGGACAAAATAACAATGGCAATAATTTGGCCATGATGGTAATAATGATGATGATGATGATGATGATGATAGCATGCACTTATATACAGCCTTAAGGTTTGCAAGGCATTGTGCATATGTGATCTCATTTTATGCTCGCCACAACCCTGGGAGGGAGGTGTTATTATTAGCCCCATTTTACAAATGAAGAAACTAAGGCAGACAGAGGTTAAGTGACTTGCCCAAGGTCACACAGCTGGTAAGTATCCTCTGAGGATCCTTCATGCTCTAGATCTATGGTCCAAAACTCACCACTTTACAGAGGAGGAAACTGAGGCACAAAGGAGTGGAAGAATTTGCTCAAAGTTAAGTAAAAACCCAGAGGGATATGGATTCCCAGATGCCAAAATGTTTTCCAGAACCCAAAAAGTGAGGCTCTGAGGGTGGAATTTCAGGTATTTGAGCCAGGCTGGCGGAGGAAGAGGAGTTCAGGAAGCCCTTGCTAGGGTAGGCAAACCCTGGCTGAGTCCCTGCCTTTCTCAGACCCAGAGGGAGCGCCAACAGGTGAGCTCGCCGGTCCCCTGCTGGGCTCTCATCACTCATCAGATCAGGTGATGGAGACCTTGAGTGACACACTAGTGAAGCCCTCCACTTTACGGATGTGGAAACTGAGAACCAAAGAGTCTCAGTGACTTCTCTGAGATCACACAGCTAGGTATTAGGCATCAAAGGTACAATTCACACCCAGTTCCTCTGACTCCAGAGCGAGTGCCCTTCCCACCGTACCGAGCTTGCTCAGCTGATCTACCTACTTCTTTAGCCAGGAGTCAACCTCACCCAAACACTGAGCCCAGAGTGAACATCTCTCTAGGGGCAAGAGCAGCTGCCCTGGCCAGGCAAAGCTAAAACCTTAGGAAGACCTACCCCATAACAACAGTGCTCTCTCTCCTCCTCCCCCTCTTAGACTAGTCTCTTTTTGAAGCATGACTCAGGGGCCACCTCCTCCAAGAAGCCTCCCCTGATCTTCCCTGTTACAAGGCTCTCTCTCTCTGAAAATTACCATGCATCACTGCATTTGGATATGCACAGTGTAGACTTTTCTGTGTGTAGAGAATCAGAAAACCAAGGTATGTATGAGATAGAAGGAACTTTAGCAGTCACCAAATCTAATCCACGCCCTATTTGACAAGTGGTCATTCAGCTTCCGATTGAAGACTTTCAAAGACAGGGAGCTCAGCCCCTCCAGAGGCAGCCTCTTCCACTTTGGGGCAGCTCTCGTTGTTGGGTTTGGAGCAGCTGGGGGCGCCATAGTGCATAGAACGCCAGGCCTGGAGTCAGGAGAACTCATCTTCCTGAGTTAAAATCCAGCCTCAGACACTTACTAGCTGTGTGACCCTGGGCAAGTCACTTCACCCTGTTTACCTCAGTTTCCTCATCTGTTAAATGAATTGGAGAAGGAAATGGCAACCCACTCCAGTATCTCTGCCAAGAAAACCCCAAATGGGTCACAAAGAGTTGAACACAACTGAAACAAGTGAATAGCAACCACATTGTTAGGTTAGGAACTTCTTCCTGACATCAAGCCTAAATTTCTCTCTTTGCCACTTCCCGCCTTGACTCCTGGTTTGGCACTCTGGGGGCCGAGCAGACCACGTCTAGACCCTCCTGGGCATGACAGGCCTTCAGCTCCTCAAACCCAGTTCTCAGATCGCCCTTCAGTCTTCTCCAGGCTAAACATCTCCATTTCCTTCAATATCCTCCCAGGACCCCTCCGGCTCACCAAGGTCCTTACACTACAGCAGCCAGAACTGAACATACACCGTGGCCCCCCGGCCCCAGATGAACATCAGCTCAGAGCGGGCAGCTTAGTTTCTTTGGGGCCTTCCATCCCCGGCGCCCAGCACAGCACACAGTGACAGTGTTTGCCCTGGCTAGAACCTGGGATTGCATCAGCATAGCGAGGGATCTGGCGTCATGGCTAGTCACCAGAATGACCTGCGGCTCACTCACTGGCCTGCAGCTCATCTTCTCAGAGTATCACCTGGGACACTGAGAGGGGAAGTGACTGGCCCACCCAGTAGGGGTCTAAGGCAGGATTTGAACCCAAGACCCCTGACTTCAAGATCTGTTCTATAGACAGTACCATGATGCCTTTCTGTGGGAGCTTTAATAAATGCTATTGAGTTGAATTGAACTGAAATAAAGCACAGCAGGCTTGAAACTTTAGAATCATAGACAAAACCAAAAGAGTCCTTAGAATTCACCTCGTCTAATCCCCTCTTTTACTGATGAGGAAAATAAGGCCCTAAGAAGTTCCATGAGGTCTTTCTCCGTGAGAAATGCAGTCAGAAAGGGACACCAGAGGTCATCAGAGTCAACCCCCTGATTTTACACGTTAGAAAACGGAGGCCCAGAGACGTCAAGAGAATTAGCCAAAGGTCACATAGGGAATAAACTCTTCTGTTAGACCATAAGCTCCTTTAGGATAGGGACTGTCTTTTGCCTCTTTTTGTATCCCCAGTACTTAGCACAGTGCTCTGGTACATAGTAGGTGCTAAATAAATGTCTATACATAGTAGGTGCTTAATAAATGTTGATTGATTGATTAAAGTGGCGGTCAGGATGTGAATGTACACATGCAAGCTCAGACACACACACACACACACACACACACACACACACACACACACACAGAGGCATAAGAAAGATAACAAAGGGGCCGGGCAGTCCCGTCACTCACTCACCAGGACACGATCTCCAAGCCGCAGATCCTTATCCCCCTTCTTGACGGAGCCACTGTCTGAGAGGTTGGAGCCAGACTCGTTGCCTGTCTTCATGGAGCTGTTGAGGACGCTCTCCCGAAGGGGGATGACCCGGGTGGACAGAGGGGGCGTAGCCGTTCCAGAATGCAGGGATAGATTCTGGGCGGTCAGTGACTCCACAGAGTGAGCGTCGCTCCCTGAGCCCTCTGCGGTCGGCTGCCGTGTCAGTTTGGAGGGTCGGGTGAAGATGCCCTGTAGCGGCTGGCACTCAAAGTAGCGGACACCACCCACGGAGCCATCATTCTTGCCCACAGGGTCATCCAGGACCACGCCAGCCCACTGGCCAGGCGCGAATTGCGTCTCTCCCAGATACTGGACGACTCCGGGCTTCACCCCGTTCACCCAGACCCGTTCGCCCACCACAAAGTCCCCGAGGAAGTCATCGCCGACCTCTGCCACCTTGGGGCACGGCTTCTCTGCGGGGGTGGTGGTGGCCGCCGTGGGTCCAGACGCCTGCTTGTGCAGAGGAGAGCCTGCACAGTAAGAGAGATACGGGCGTAATTAGGACAAGAGAGTAGACAGCGACAGAAGCATCTGATGGACTGCATCTGTGGGGATGGAGGCTTGGGCCCATGCCCAGGAATCATCGAATGTCAGAGCAAAGGGGGGGGCAAGACCCTAAAATACCACCTACGTCCAGCCCTCTCATTTTACAAATGAGGACACAGAGGCAGGCGGGACGAGGCTCCGAGGCGATGGATCTGGGTTGGAATCCAGGTTCTCTGACTTCCTTCTATGACATGACTACTGAGAGGATTACTGACCAGAGTTAGGGCCGTTCTTACTTGATTTTTCAAGGAATCTGGTACGGTTTATTCTGTAGACGTTCATTTACATACGTGTCACCTCTCCTTCTAGAACATAAACTCTTGAAGGACCATTTAATTTTTGTCTTGAATCCTCAGCATAGATCACAGTGCCCGGCACACAGTAGGCCTGTTAAATTATTGATTGGGACGCAGGCATGTGAAGACCTTCTTTGTTGGAAAAAACTTTCAGGTCAGTGTTTTGTTTAAGGCAGCAGGGCAGACGGGGGGAGGGCACTGGACTTGGGGTCAGGAAGACCAGTGGGTGATGGGATTGATTTTGTGCCAGAAGGGGCCTTGAAGGCCATCTCGTCATAGGATCGTAGACCTTAGGGGCTATCTCGTCCAACATCCCCAGGTCCAGAGAAATTAAGTGATTCACCCAACAGCATGGGGAGCAAATGGCAGAGGTGGGAATCAAACCCAGGTCTTCAGGTTCCAGGTTCAAATTCAGCCTCAGACACTTACTAGCTGTGTGACCCTGGGCAAGTCACTTAACCCCTATTGCCTCCCCCCCCCAAAAAAAAGAAAAGAAAAAGAAAAAAGAGGGAATGTGTTAGACCAGATGGTGTTAGGAGATGTTGGACCATGTGGCCTCTGAGGACCCTTTTAGCTTTAGCGCTGTGATCCTATGGAACCCCACGGTAATAATTAATTTGTTTTACGCCAAGGAGCAATCCAGCGGTTCCTGAGAGCCGCGTGCTTCTGTCCTCTGCTGCTTTAGGAAGTATCTATGAGACAAAAAGTTAGAAATCCAAACATAATCACTCTGAGCCCCCAGTTAGGAAAATTCCCAGCATTTAGGCAGAGGGTGGGCTCTCTGTCTTCATTAACCCAAACATCAATTTGTAGTTAAGCCCTGGCCTCTGTGACTGAGACAAAATTCGGGCAACCAGAAAGAGACTTTGGGTAAGAGATTACATCAGCAGAGGCTATTTAAGAACGAGTTGATTTTTTTTCTTGACACTTCCCTCAGTCCCTGAGGAGGTGGGCATACTAGTGGCATTGGCCTGAGTCTCCTGCTCCGAGATGCCACAGGGCCAATGGCCTCAGCCTGGGCCTACCTCCTTTCTCCTTTCCCCAACTTCCTCTGGGCTGCCATATCTTTCCAGTTCAGCTCTAGATGGGCAGCCAGACTGTCAGAATCTCTTCCTGGTTCTTGACTCAGCTCCTTAGGACTGTGAATGATAGCAGGCTTTCTTTGTGGCTGATTCTTATTGATTCAATAAAGACATCTTCCCACCCAATAAAGATGACTACTTTCAAGTAAAGCAGGAAAATCAAAAGTCATCAGACTTCTACCTACATACGCCTAACTGTGAAACCCTGAGTAAGTCACTAAACCTCCTTGGGCCTCAGTTTCCTCATCTGTAAAATAAGAGGCTTGGTCCGGATGGCCTCTGAGGTCCTTTATTTGATTCTATGATTCTACGGTCCTAAATCCAGGGCTCTTACTGAAGGGATACCCAGGATTTCATTCCAAAGCCTTCAGGAAGCAGACTTCATTTTCTTGCAAAGTAATGAGTTCTGAGCTTTTATTATCTCCTGCTTTTTTCCTTTACAGTCAGGACCCCCTCCTCCAACCTTCTACGCACACACTGTGACCCCTAGCTAGTCCAGGTAACCATCTCCAGTTCAGAAAAGGGCTGGATCTGCTGGGCCAGGGGCAGCAGGATTTCCTGTGCCCCACCTGGCATCTGGAATCCAGGGCAAAGGGAGCCTGAGCCTCAATCAAGGACATCTTGAGGCTGTTAATTCATTTGGAAAAAGCATGTTCCTCTGAGAGTCTGTTAGCAATCAGACTGAGATCAGGAAGCCTCTGGCTCCCAAGCCAGCACACAAAGCCTACCTCCTACCAGGGGAAGGCAAGGAGGGGATCTGTTAAACTCCTCTTTTTCTCCCCACCCGTCCTCAGAGCCTTCAGCCTGGGTCTTACCTCCCTCGAGTTCCATGAACTGAGAGCAGAGCAGAGCTGGGAGCCGGGACTCCTTCGTCCTTCCTATGCCCACACAGACCCACTGACTGGCTGCTAGGTCTTGTGGAGAGGAGGGAGGAGAATTGGGGGAGGGGGAAAGGGAGGGAGAGAGGGAGGGACTTAACCCTTCTGATTCCTCAGTCCTTAAATAAGGAATGTTCAGAGTTAGGAAGACCCTGAGTGGTCAAATTCAAACCGTTCATTTTAAAAGAGGAAACAAAAGCTCAGAGAGAGAAGAGACTAACCCAAGCTCCCGGAGGGAGCAAGTGGAAGGGGCTGAACTAGAACCCAAGGCTTTCTTGTCTTTCACTCAGGCTGGCCCTCTTTCCATTTCAGGGTTAACCGATCAGAACCTATATTAAAGAACTGGAAGGGGAGGGGAGTGACCACCAGGAGGGGTCCCAAGGTTGATGAGGAGAGGTAGGCGTCAGTAAGACCCTCAGTCTGGATTCCACAGGAGAGGGCAGCAGGGGTATGGGACACAGGGATGGCTGAAGCAACTGGACTGACACAGGAGAGGAAAAGCTGCCCAAGGGGGACAACCCAAGCACAGAGGAGAAGCAGTTTAGGAGGAAACAATCCAGAAGTCCACAATATGCCATGTGTGCGAGTATGCCCTGGAGAAGAGAATACCAGATCACAGGAGAAAGAAAGGCAGGGCAGAGGGACAGAGACAGAGGTGGAGGAAGGGTGGAAGCCAGACTGCTAGAAAGAGGGACTGAAGGAGAGAGTGAAAGGGAAAGAAGGCCAAGGTAGGAAGGGAGGGAGAACAGAAGGGGGAGGAGGAGGGAGACAGTGAGCCCTTCCAGACGCTTCTGGCAGCACATGGATTTAAAACCTCTCACATGTTTGCCAAGGTAGTAAAGGGCATGGAAGAGGGAGAGGGGTGTCCACAAGGAGACAGCAATTTCTTGCTAAGTAGTAATGGTTGGTAAAGGTTTAATTAATGACTGTTCTTTAGGATATGTATTTTTTTCAGAGGAAAAGTCATATCTCAACACAAAATAATCCAAAGGAATGGGTTGGTAATGGTGGAATTTCAGGCATGGTTTGGATTATATAGCCTCTGGAATCTCTTCTGACTCTGAGATTCTATCCTGCTAGATGTGGGATTTGAACCCAGACCTCCCTTGCCTCCAAAACCAGTGTTCTTAAAAAAAAGTTATTTTCTTTTCAGTTTCAAATCATCTCCCTCCCTTCACCCCCTCACCCACCACAACTCACGGCCTTAGTTCTGAAACAAGACAGAATTTCTGTCTTTAAGGATGGGAAAGGCTACTATGCAAATGATGCACTAGACTGGACCTAGTTTATAGCAGGTAGAAAGCAGCACCGCCCACCTCAGGGAGTCTAGGGGATGATGGTGTGGGCAGCAACAGAGACACACATAATCCAACCCAGATCCCTAGTGTCAAGCTGCTTCTCAGGCAGTTGGCCTGGCATGCCTTCCCTTGCTCAGCCAAGGCCCAGGCCTGGAGGCCAGACAGCAAACATCAAAAGTGTGCTCCACGCTGGCTGGCCAAGTCAGGGGAACCTGTTCTTCTAATGGCTTCTTTCAGATCCAGAAACCCAAGATGTACAATAAAGAAATGAGATATGGCCTGGCTGAGGGCCCAAAGGACGGGGCAGGCCAGGGCACCACAGCAGGCACCTTCCAGCAAGTCCAGAGAGAGCTTGGCCCAACCCAGTGGTGACCCCAGTCAACAGTGAGTGCCCGACTCACCCCAATGGCCCTGAAATCAACAGAAAGGAGCTTCAGGACAGGCTGAAGTCTAAGAACACACACACACACACACACACACACACACACACACACACAGCATTATCAGGAGAAATTCCATCTCCTGCCTCTTTGTCTTTGTATAAGCTGTTCCCCATGCCTGGAATGCCCTCCTTTCTCACTTCTGCCTCTTAGAATCCCTGGTTTCCTTCGAGGCCCAGTTCACAGAACATCTTTCCAGATCCTTTCTGATGTTAATAGCCTCTACCTCCTCCTCTAAACCTGTTTATTTGTCTGTCTACACAGCAAGGTGGTGCAGTGGATAGAGTGCCAGGCTTGAGTCAGGAAGACCTGGGTTCAAATCTACCCTCAGACACTTAGTAGCTGTGTGACCTTGGGCAAGTCACTTCATCCTGTTTGTCTCAATTTCCTCATCTGTCAAATGAACTAGAGAAGTAAATGACCAACCACTCCAGTATCTCTGCCAAGAAAACCCCAAATGGGGTCACGAAGGGTCAGACACGACTGAACAAGAATCCTGGACTTTGGGTTCTGCTTTCCCTCTGTTCTTTACTGTTTGTAGAGCTTTAACTTGGTTGTCTAAAATGTCTCGTAATTGCTCTGTGTTCTACTTTCTCTCTCTATTCTATATGGACTTTTCTGCGCACATGTTCCCAGAAGCCACTAAGACACAAATGACTTTCATTTTCGTTTGTATCTCTAGGGCCTGTGCCTTGGTAGGCACTTAATAAATGCTTCCTGATTGAATGAAAAGACCACCAGGAAGATTTAGAAGGGAAGGTTTAAGGCTGGAAGGGCTTAGAAGCCATCTTGTCCTACCCCTTCACTTTACAGATGAGGAAACTGAGGCCCAGGGTGGTTCAGTGACTTGCCCATCCAAGGTCAATAGCTAGTAAGGGTCAGAGGTGGAGCTTGAACCCAGGTCTTCCTGACCTCCGGTCTAACCCTCTG